TTTTGATTAATATCAATGCAATGACAGGGGTCATTAGACGTTACCAATGTAACAGGCGGTATGAAAAAATAGTCAGGAAAAGTGTTACTGTCAATGTCATGGAAACTAAAATTTCTTGATGTGATGTAAAAAATGAAGCCCAAGAGTGCGACACAAATGGGCAATTCAGGGAAGAGGGGTCTCTAGAGCCAGCAATACAATTGTAGGATAACATTAGTTTACTCTCAACACTGCCGCACTGGTTTTGAGTATATTAAAGACTCCCACTGATGGGGTTTTTCCTGATTTCCCACTGTAAATGGAGATGTGAAACGATAGCTCATGATTTTTTCCAAATATGTTAGTGTTTTCTCTACGAAAGACGCATTTAAGGCCGCTACAAGGCGCAGAGGAAACGTGCACCATTTCCAAATATACTTTGCATTTACAATACTGCCCTTTGGAAGTTCATGTTTCTGTCAAAGATATGTAAACACTGAACAGTTTCTTCCGGGATCAAACTTTATGAGAACGTCACGGGCTTAAACAGAATTTGGTGCAAGCGATTTAGCCGCTCGGCGGTGATTCTCGAATAAAACGGAAATCGAAACGACAGATTTTTCGAAAAGCTATATTCAATCAAATTATCGGCCAGTTGCACAAAAAAAATAATCCAGGATTATTGTTCGGTATTAAGACATTTGATTGGCTTTATATTGCAGTGGGCAGCCAATCAAATGTCAAAATTCTAGTTTAAACACAGATTTGGCAAATAATGTAGGATTTTGATTATAATTCGCTTTTCTGCAACCGGCCGTAAGTGTACCAAAGGTCCCAATTAACTCAAAATTGATTCACTTAAAGTAGCATTTGTTCTTGATAACGTTATTAGCATAAATAACTCGCAACACCCTGTAATGTCCTTAGGGATCTCCCAAGCCGGCACTGCAATCTCGACTTACCGTATACTTACAGCTTTCAAGTCGAAAGGACGGACATTTTGCGGCACTTTCGAATCTCGGATGCCGTCGGCTAGAACCGGGTGTATTATTCATTTTATTTTTCATTTGCCTATTATATGTCAATTATATCTGTCATATGAGATATATAAAGCAGTCTATGACGCCCGAGGGCATAATGAGATGACAATCCATTATGCCCTCTCATTATGCCCTCAAACTGCCTGTCAAATATATTGACGGAGTTATGTAATAAAAAAAGATGCTACTTGATTCGTTTGAAGCACTAACAATAATCATTACATTTGTATATTGGAAATGCATTATTTGGAACAATGAAAAATAAAATGTTGTATGCACCTCAGGCATTACTCGATATTTAACCCTCGGGCGACTTACAATCCCTCGGGCCAGAGGCCCTCGGGCTCTGTCGCCCTCGGCATAAATATCGCCTTAATGCCCTTGATACATAAATAGCTATTTTGTACTCCGTGGACTAAATCAACGTTTTTTGTTGTATATATCACAGGGCTAAAGTGCGTCCTAATCCCTCGGGATTAAAACACACACTTTAGTCCCTTGGTACATAATATGTGCAATAAGTGGATAACTCATATAATACAAGAACAAGATAAGAGACCAATTCAGAAACACAATCATTCGTTCTACATAAAAATCTCTCTTTTACAACGCGACAAAGCTCTACGAATCTCTCACCAACTGCGACAAAAAAGAATTCAATGTAAAAATTAAGGATATACTGCACCAAAGTTCGTTTTATTCGGTGCAGGATTTTATTAAATTCTTTGCAAATAAACATTAAGCTGCTGCAACCCCACCTAGTTTTTATCATTACAATGTATAATTGTTTGGTTATATTTTTATTGGCGTATCGATAATTGTTATTCAACAATCCGCCGGTTAAATTGATTGATTGAAACCAGACTTTTAGTCCAGCTCATATTCAATAGCTCTGATCATTTAACTCCTACAAATCGATTAGCGAAGGTTTGACATCGCTGTCTCTTTTCGTTCTCGAGATAGACGAGGAGCAAACGGACATACGGACATGCGGGGAATTTTTTTTCTTTTGAAAAATTCCCCTAAAAAAGGCTATTACACCAAAGAAACTTATTTGTGATTTTTAGTTTTTAGCACTTCCACATTTGCAATTTAATTTTTTGTATTAGTTAGTTTTCATATGTAGCAAGCAAAACCTGTACTATATGAAAACAGCACCGAAGCTGTGGCTACTATTCTAAAAGTTTGTTTTTTATTATCAATTTTAAATCAACTCATTGTTTATGCAAAAGTGACGTACCTGATAAGGAACTCCTTTTGTATCTCCGAATTAATCGCAATAGAGGAATCATTTTATGTTAAAAAATCATGTAACCGAAAACCAATTGCAAAAGAATTGATCACTCTCGGAAATTCCTTAACCGGAAGTGACAAACCGGAAATATATGGTTTTTGGCTCATCAGACTTGCTTTTAGGGAAAAAATGTTCTATGCAAAATTAAAGAGCATCAAAATCAATCTATATTGATGCTCATAAATGATCAGATATAAAGAAAAGTGCATTCGGAATTATGTCAAATATTAAAATTGGACAACATTTACGATTGGGTATAAATTATTTTCTCTGTGCAGGGTGGCCAAATTTGGTTGTTCGTATGGGGTAACTGAAAAACGATAAGTAATATAAAAAAAATTGACATTGCAGTCTCGATGTATTTTTCTGAGATAAACTCGATGTTGAAATCCAAACTAGTCTACAGTTTTTTTATTTTTGAGTAGGTAAAGATTCAATTTTTAGATAAAAGCCTATAATTTCTTTGTTGATTAAGTTATCGGAAATGTGTTTATTACAAATGATTGTTGCATAATCTACCGTTTTCAAAATAAGTATACGGGGCCAATAAAAAATGTTATCGTTTTTTAAATGAAACACCCTATATATTTTAATCCAAACAGCCAGCATATTAAATTCGCTTTTCAAAACTATAGCACACCAAGGATGATATTAAAAATAAGATTCAAGTGATTCTATATTAGTGCAGTTTATTTCGCAATATAAGTTGGTACACACATTGTACCTAAACCACTGCTTCATAAAAAAATGTGTTATATACATTTTTGTAGAGATTATGTTGCTCTTTAATTTTATATAGAACAATTTTTTTCCTAAAAGCAATTCTTGCTTAGTTATGACCCAAAATCTATCCATTTCCGGTTTGCCACTTCCGATTATTCGTTTTCAACACATTTTTTTCATTCAGAAACCTCTCTTGCAATTTGTTCACGGTCAAACTACACAATGATTCCACTACAATGCGAATGCTGTCTTTTTAATTACATTAGAAACCTACAAACCCAACGCCTCGAATATAAAAATGAATCGGTACCATACTACGAACTCCAACTAAAACTAAATGGGAAAAATTACAATGTGGTCAATAAATCAATTAAGAGAATCTCAAATGAGCCGATAAATTAAGAAATCAGTAACTTTCAAAGTAGCTTAGTAATAAGTAAAACTTCTCGGTAAAATTGGAATTTGAAAGTTTATTCCAATTTTTATTAAACTTAACGTCCTGGGATTTTGATTTCAATTTAGATTTTAATTAATTTACATCAAAATATAACCAGCATAAAGCGGTAATCTCATTATGGTCCAGACGTGGATAATTTTTTTCCTCCTATGCGAATTTTGTTGAATTTATGTTGCACACCTAACGAGAAACACGTACTAATTGAAGGTAAACTCTTACACAAAGTTTGTTACAGTGTTTATCTCAGAAGGGAGAGGTTTATTTAACTAAAAACTTAACGTTAAGTTAGTTATGCAGTTGAAATTTAAGAGACAAAATTGAATTTGTCATGTTTACGTTTAGTATACGCTATGCAAATCTTTAGGATGCCCAACTTCAAAATTATTGTTGTTAACCGAGGGCTTTCCCTTTAAATGGGGCAGGATGACTGCTCTAAAGGAATAGTAATTACGGGTCGAAATTGCTGATTCACTAAATGTTGCTGCTTACTTAATGTTACCATCCTTTGTTTGGAAGTAGTTAAGCCCGAGAATCAGAATAGAATACATGAATGGCCTTTCGTTAACTTATTGTTTCTGCTTTCGGTCTTCAGACTGCATAAATATTCATAACATTGCCTGCCACCAGGAAACATTTTTACTTCGAAGGAGGATATTACCGTTGCGATAATTATTAAATATTAGATATGCTGTAAACATGCTTATATGCAAATCGTGACGTAAATCGGATGCAGGAAGCTAATGGAAACATTATCCCGTGACCAGGCACGTGGAAAACGTGAGCGAAATTGGGTGTCAGTTACACATATATGACTACGGGCTACAGGCTTTGTTGGTGGGCTACAATATCCTATTTAGTAATAATCAGATAGTTGATGTTTCTAACTACAAGATTAAAGTTCGTAGGTCGTTGCCATTATATTAAAATATTCTGTTATATTATAGGTGAAACTGTAACACAACGCTTATATTCACCAGTGTTGATGGGGTCCGAGTTATAAATGGCATATTCATTTTGCGTACAACATAGGGCCCTTCTTCCATTGCAGAATTACATTATTTTTATTTTCAATGTAGTTAGGTATTTACTTTACAAATTGCGGAGAAGGCCTGATTTATTGATAAGAATCAAATCCAAACAAAGGATTTTGGTTATTTTGTTTCAAAAATCAGAAAATAGTCTCATAGTCTGTCCAGGTTCATTAAGAATTTTCATATGAGTTTGCATTTTAAAAAAAGTTAAAAAGATATTCTAAACCTACAATAACCTAACGTCAAAAGCTGCTTGATGTTGCACACCTGTATGAGTCGACGTTATGCTCACGTTCGGCTTAGTGGCCCTTGTACACTTGTCGGCGATGTGTGCACGGTCGGTATAGTGTCGGTCGGCGAAGTGGGCAAAAAATCAACAATTTCGTATAGCTCAATACTGGTACACAATGAGTCATAGCAAACTCGAATTGAAGCATACACCCGTATTCGTTTGTTTCGTGTTATAAAAAAGCGAGTGTCCTTTAATCTTTCTATTTTTGTACTACGTTTTGGTATAATTACTATTACAAATTGTTTTATGATCCTCGGCGGAAAGCTAGGAGAACATTTCCTCGACTTGCTTTCTGATTATCTTTCCTGTTACTGTTAATGGCAATTCGGAGACGAATTTGACTCCTCCTCGTAGACGACAGCTATCGCTTACGGTTTCTTCCACAAATTTCTCAATCTCCTCTTCACTTGTACTTTGATGTGAAGGTTTGAGAACAACAACGGCCTTGGGGTGATGACCATCCATTTCATGTGGAACACCTATAACCGCCACACTTTCCACGGCCGGGTGAGTATTCAGAATACCTTCCAGAACGCTGGGGATAACGTGCCATTCTCGATACTTAAACATCTCCTTGACACGTCCTAAAATGAAGAAGCACAAATCTTCGTCATAGTAAGCGAGATCCCCAGTTTTTAACCAGCCGCTTTCATCCCATATTTGCGACGAGTCCAGGTTGTAGTATCCATTTGTTTGCATCTTAGTTTTAATACGAAGTTCGCCGGGAGTATTCGGTCCAAGTGCTGCACCATTTTCGAAATCTACAATTTTGTACCACACTCCAGGAACACCGCGACCAACCGATGTGGGTTTTTCCTCAATAAATCTGAGATCAATCGGATTAAGAGGATTGAAACTTGCTATCGACATAGGAATTTCGGTTTGGCCATATACTAGGCGAACGCGAGCATTTGGAAGTAACGCCTTCATTGCCAAAATTGTTCCTCCGGGTACTGTGTTTCCCCCTATCATAATATCTGTTACACTGTCAGTTTGGATGTTGTTGGGTCTGCCTTCTTTTAGCATGCTTAGAATGTGTGCCACATTGAAATATCCAGATGTAATCTATAAGATTTGTTCAATCGTCAATACCTCAATGATAATCCCATACCGGATAAGTAAACGTTTGCCAAGCGTTGCTCGGGTCAAACTGTGGATATACTAATCGAGTGATTCCTTTGACTATGTGAAAATGCACGCCTAACAGAAAGACTACCCAATAGGGTGTTGCGAAACTGACAGACAACACAGAGTCACATGAACCATGCCTGAAGAGCTTGATTAGTTATAGGTATCGTAACGGAATAGTAAAACTCACGTACGCTTTATCACTTCCTAAATACATCATGGTGTAATGATTGTAACAAACTCCTTTTGGAGGACCTGATGTGCCACTGCTAAAACATATTGAAACCGTCTCATAAAGATTTTCCACTTCTTTTGGTTTAAATTCTTTCTCTTCCGATCGATCTTTCAGTAACTCGGCGAATGAAACGTGTCCTGAATGATCACCAAAAACAACAATAATTGCATCAGATCCAATGGTAGCCAGAGCACTTTCGACTTTTGGCACGACATTTTCTTGCACAAATATAACTTTGGGCGGCGCTTGCTTGAGTAAAAAAGCTAGTTCGCTGCTTCTAAAATTGACATCAACTGCTGAAACTATTGCGCCAAGGAAAAAGGAAGCGATCATCGGCACACAGCTGTTAAGGTGATTCAATGTGCAAACCGACACAATCTCGCCCGATTTGAGGCCCATCTCCTTCAATCCTATGGCTACCCGAATACAACGACTCAGAAGTTGAGCAAAGGTGTCCGTTGAACCGGTGAGACCATCAATCTGCAGAAACTGTCACAACTGCTCAAAACTTAAAAAAGAAGTGCATACCTGCGCTACGTTTTCCTTATATTTAGACATACAATCAAAATACAAGCGTCCCACACCTTTAGCCTTTGGAATGTACTTCAGGTCGGGCATTTTGATTATATTTCCTTCTAGCGTTGCTTCCATATTTGCAATGTACAACTAGTTCGTGATGTGACTTTTGATCAGTTTAGATTAGCGAGAATGCAACAGCAATTGTTTTTCTGTTTTCACCATGGTAATTAACGGAAAAAAACACAGTTTAGTTGTATAATTTAACCAACCTTGAATCTCTTATAATTACACAATTAGCAGTGTCGACTTACATTTGAAGGTCCTGTATACTAGTTAAACTTTACAGATACCAACACTCACAAAAACTAATTATTTTTTATGAATACGGTAACAATACTCTAATGGCATATCTAAGGGGAAGAGAAAACAATGCTTTCTGAACCTTAATGAGTTATAATGACTCCAATATACATTTCCAGGATGAATAGTTTATGTCACAAGATAAACACAGATTATTGAATTTATTACATATCACATATTTATACGGTGAAGATAGCATAACCTTTGAACTTTGATGTATTATATTTACGTTGTCGAACTTCGGTTGGAAGTCCGCACACAAATGGCATGAAAATTAAACAATATAATTAGCGGAATCAAAATTAAAATTTAATTAAGAGTAATCGGGAGCTGCTCCAGTACTTTCTAAGGGACGCAGCGGTAGGAGACGAAGTATTCGAAACTGCCAGTAAAGGTGGAGCTTAAAAGTGATAAAGTATCACGTGCTATCCCTACCTTACACGCGTATAGTACCTACTCCGTTTTCAGTCATTTCATTTCAATGTGACATTGATAAGACAATTGAATAAGGAATTATTTACACATAATGTAGGTACTTACTCGATTTATTTCTTGTATTTCATACTGTCCCGTTACCCGTAGATGTTCGATTACTATCAATTTAAGTCCGTAAGTTAAGTGTCGCTAAGGAACACTTACCGGACTGTTATTTATACACCAAATTTGACAGCTTCAAACAATTAATTAAAAACCCCAACATACATTTGACCATAATTATTTATTTGGAACGTAAAAGAACAATTTGTGGTTCCCGCACCACTAACGCCTGGGTTATTACTAGATATCGAGTTAGAGTTTGATTCCCTCTGAGGATCTGCTGTATATAGAGAACTGCAATGAAATTTTCGCCATGAATTGATTTATTGGAAAGCGGGATCGAAAGATCACCTTTGAAACTCGATCAGGGTAAACGCATGTTTTGAGATCCATAAAATACCTCCAAACCCTACCCACACCTAACCCTTAAAAAACCCTTAAAGGGTTGAAAATGCCTATTGTTGTTTTTTGGGAATATGTATCTTTAAATCAAAGCTAGTTAGGGAAAAATATGAAGATAGAAAAATTAAAGCATATATAGGTATATATTTTCCTATAAAACCTACCTATATATTTTCCTGTACCAGTGGCGGAGTTATGATATTAATTTTGGTTATTTTTAAAAAGACTTTAATTATTTAATTTCTGATTGAAATTTTTAAAAAATTTTTAGTTCTTTAAGTCACTATGCCAAACAAAATTTATATATGTTACGGCCAGGAAATTGATAACCAAATAGTCACGGATATTTAAAAATTTCAACATAAATTAGGACCTCTAAAAATGTTATTTTTGCCATGCACCCCATTTCTGAATGCGGCGCCACATCTGGGCTTTTCAACATAGGAAATATTATTTTGTTTATACTGTAGACCAGGAAGAAATATAACAAATGCCAGATTAAGGACCTTGACGTTCTCAACCAGCAATATGTAGTACAGCAAAATTTAAAATAAGGATTCTAATTTAGCATAGCTTTCACCGACTGTAAAGGCAGCTCAGTACCAATTACGAGACCAATTACCATGCGTTTAGGACTTTTTAACAAGATTTTCTTTGAAAAGATTAATTATTATTAAAAAGCTCCTAGCGAGTTCAGAATTTTGGACTTTCTGTCCGTCCGCCCGTCCATATGTGGGCAAGATAACTCCCGAACGGTTTCGAATTTTTCAATTCTGTTTTCATTATTTTGTTTATCATCACCCAAGGAAAAGATGTTTATAGTGATCCAGGAGCTCGTTTGCTATATTTGTTACAAGTTTATTCTTATTTGACTATATCGCTTCAATTCATCTGTATAGGTAGTTTCATTATACTTTCTTTACAAAGGCCTCACAGCTGGAAAGTAATACTGACCCGGATGATTTTCATTTTTAAGTTCAAATATGGTTGAGTAATAACTTACCAGCCCAGGAGTGGACCAAGACATGGACCCCGAAGGGATTCTAAAGCAAATTTTTTGCAACTGTTCGTCAGGCGTTTGCAAAAAAGCATGCTTGTGGCGAAAAATTCGTCTAAATTGTACCCTCTAGCTTGTAGAATTGTAGACAGTTAAAGATTCTGACGAATTAATAATTTAATATACAGAAATATCTAATCAGGTACCTAACTAATTAAAAACTTATGCTATGCTAAGTATTCATTTGCCTAAACGGGACTTATTTTAGTTTAACTATCTCAAAATAAGTTACCCTACCGCACTGCATAGATACCTACTGACTACAATATATTATCGTTTTAATGTACATATTTAAAAATGGATGACTTAAAAAAATTAGTACTTACGCCACTGTTATGATTTTTTATTTCATGAAAATAGGCACGAGATGAATGTTTTTACCTAAATATTTTTGAGAAATTTCTCTAGAAAAATAAAATAAATACCTATATACGCTTTCATTCGTCTATCTTCACATTCTTTTGCAAATAGCGTTGTTTTCAAGATATTGACAAAAGACTAAAAAAAGTCCGATTTTCATCCCTTTCAAGGACTGTTTGGAGGTGACAGACACGGCTGTTCACTTATGGGGTTTGGTGGGATTTTAAGGACTCCAAAATCAACTTATTTACCAAATTTCAGCTTGTCACTAATTTGTTCACGGTTAGACTGGGTCGACCCTGACGCTTTATAGTGTAATCGGGGTTGGAAACTAATGGAAAGTTTCCACAATTTTTAACATAAAAAGAGAGATGTATGACAGATTCCCACATCAAATTTAAAAACAATTAATTTCTCTACAAAATGATATTTACCTCGAGCTAAAGTGCAACTATCAGTGTTCGAAGCATTGTGTGTGAATTTTCAATCGTTTTTAATAAATTTAGAATATTAGCGGTCATTTTTGGAGATCCATTTTTTGGTATATTAATCAGCAGAATATCTACTCAGTTATTTTTTGATTGACAGAAATAAACCAACGATAAATTTCGAATAATTTCAATGCTACTTTGTTTTGAGGTACAACAATTTTATCGTTGGACGGAATTGTCTCACATTTGTGTCCCATGTAATAATTGCCTAGGACGCAAATGAAGCGAGCGAAAGGTTTCCGACACATAATCATTGAATTTATAACTAAATTCAATGACATAATCACAGTTAAAAGATAAGAATATTTCCTTGCATTTTTAGCAACTCCCATGAATGCATTTGTCTCACAAGTTTCTCTGTCTATAGAAAAGTTCGGTAATTTGCCGTAATGTGACGCTAAGATACAGAGTTAAATATTGGCAAAACAGTGCTTCCGTTCTCCCCATAAAATTACAAAAACTGACTGTTTTTTAATGATCTTTTTCAATATACTAATAAATAAAGAGCTAATGTATGCCTCTCTAATAGTAAAATTTTCATTTTTTGCTTTTTTAAGAAGAAATTGATCTTTAAAAACCACTAAAATGTCGCAACTTTAACGCCGTATATTTTGTTTTTTTCGCTTGTTTTTAAAAAAATGATCAAAGTCCTCGTGTGAGATCGAAGGGACTTCAGCGCATTTTTGTGTGGCAGATCAGTGTTTTATTAGCCAATATTGACTCCACCATCAATAAGATCTTGCCGAAAGCTACCACGTTCACTTTGTCGGTACCATTTTCTCACTTACCGTGCACTTGCAATTCGCGTTTGAAGTTTCGACTCCACCATCAGTAAGATCTCGTCGGGGGTTACCACATTCCCTTTGTCGATACACAGTTCCGACGTCCCGTTCATTCGTAATTCACATTTTGGTAGATTTCGCTAAAATCCCGGCATAAAATCGTATTCAACTTTTGGGTACTTCACATAGCTCGACCTTCTATTAGTGACACGAGAAAGAGAGACCGCGATTCGCGCTGTAAGAAACTTTTGGGCGCCCAAAGTCGACTACCCCTCGAAGCGCGCCGCGCAAAAGGTGGTTTATTTCGCCCCTAGGAAAAAAAAACAAAATTCCGCCACGCAGGAGTTGTGCGCGTTGACAAGATCTTCCCGACGACACCAATTTGAAAACAATCGGAGAAAAACTGTAGAAGAAGATAGATAAAAACTGAAAAATCTCCAGGTTAGTATAATACGCTCGGGGATGGCGTCCAGATGTCGTCGACTCCAAATCTTGTAGCCCCATCCCTAACGTTCTTAATTACACGGCCCCGATAGTTACATGTACACTCCTTGTCTTTTTACAAGCGTTTTTCTACGGGCGCGCATTTACTGCCAGCCAGCCAGCCAGCCAGCCGACCAGCCAGCCAGCCAACCAGCCAAAGTGAGATTAAAAGCTACTTTTTACAAAAAAAATTTGCAAAAATGCGCTAAAAATGGCATTAGAGAAGCACGGCGGCATTCTTGATGAATCGATATCAATCAACACATCAGTAAAATACCTTTGTCATACCTTAAATTTATAGGGACAACGTAAAGATGTTTATGCAGTTAATATACGGAGTCCTGATGCCTCTTAAACGAAAAATAAGTTAATTTACGGGTAATTTTAATATTCCAAAAAAATCGACCCTTGAAAATTATTTACAAGAAATAAATTTTTTATTAAATTTATTGCCTGGGAGAAGGCAATTTTTGCATATAGAACTTATTGAGAAAGTGTAACAAAATGTGAGCGTAAGCTTTTTGATTAAAATTTTAATTGGTTTTGTAACACTTTTCCAAGTCTCACGTTGTATTTCATTAATCAAAATTCCTTAGTTTTTGATAATACTATGTTGTGTCAAATTGCTGTATAATTACTTCTTATCATGCTGTGTTTCTTAAATTTTGTCGGCTGGGATGCTTTCACCAACGTATTTCTGCTATCAGACAAGGCGACTTGCACGTTGGTTAGTAGTCTTTAAACCCACAATGTTTTCAAAGCGTCTTCCGATAGAAATTCACCAGCAAGGCCTGACATTTTTTTCCCAAACTGGTTGTCCAAAGCAGAAACCATGGTTGTATAAGAATCCGTTGTTATTCCGGTTTGAATGACAACTGAAACTCTGCAAATACGGTGTGAGATCAAGTCAGTACTCCAAGAAATATTCAATCAATATACAGCGCTAATTTTTCATACAGGTATCAGACATTTTTCATTTTAATGTACCACACGATCACGTCAGTAGATTGTAGAATATCACCATTAATTACCTACGCCCAAAATAAATTAAAACTTCAGGTAATTGGCATTCGTTACATACCTAATTAAAATATAAAGTAAACACTTAAGGTCCGTGAAACGAGTGAAAAACTTCTAGCGCATATGCCATGTAACGACCTCCATCTCAATGAGTTTTTCCCCGTCAGAAATTACAAACTTTTAATTACAATAGTTTTTCATATTTCAGAGATTACGTCTAACTTTCCAGCACGGAATTTGTTGGCGGAGGATTATTTGCGTTTAATAATTGGGGCAATTATCCGGACGTTCGAATTTGTCAATGAGGTATGTGACCCGGGTTAAGCCACATTTGCCATATAGTGTCTTGTTTGCTGGATGTTAATCTCAGTGTCACCGTAATCGATTTTGGAGCTGATGTTTACACAAAATGTATGTACACACGTGTAGTATATTAAATTAACAGGTAATTAATTTTAGTGGTAAACAAGGGCTTTATCTTTATCGAACGTATTAAGATTTGTCCACTTAGCATTATTTGATAGACAAACAAATTGCGTTAGCACTTTGTGTACGGTGTACCTACCGTAACCAAATGGGTAAAAGCTCAAATTGGAAGGGTAACAGTAAGGACAAGATACGCAGTAGTCAGATACCAGAATGAAAGAAAAACTGAATAAAAAGTAGTTGCACGAATTCCATTTCCAAAAGACACTTTTTATCGACATAAGATATAAATCTGAACTCAACATTCTTGGCGGATAAAGAAATGATGGGTAAGGGCTTCACTTCATATTGGTTTCATATGAAATTAAAGTGTTTTAGGGTGTACAGCTTTGCTAGTGCATTTCCCAAACTATGTGGCACCTCCCTCCACTGCAAGCGCAACGACAGCAGAAAATCCTGTTTCACAAAGACAGTACCAAAGCCCGTACACACCAGTATATCAGTACCGTTTGGGTACTATCTCAAAAAGAAATCTGCTATCTATTAGAAACGTGGATATTTTGGTGTACTGGCTAGCGGAATTTTGAAACTGTATATAGATAACTAGCACGAGTAGGTACTATTTAGTACTTCCTGTGCAAGTGTAACTGTCGAGTGTAATCAGTTATCTGCTATATTTAAGGATATGCTTGTACAGGATACTGTACAGGGTGGTTCAAATTCATGGCTCACCATTGGGATCTTCGCCACGGCGAGAGATACAGTATGGGTTAAATGGAGGCAGTTTTGTGATTTAAAAAAACGCTTTGAAGTTTTTGAAAAATCTTTGAAAATAACTGAGATATTACCGAAAAACTAAAAATGTCAGATTTTGTTTTCATTTTCCCTACCTTAAACGGTCGGAAATGGACGGTTTCCGTTAGCACATCTTGTGGGCGCTTTTTTCGGAGCACCCTAGATGTAAAAGCTACAGACTACTACTTTCTTATTTCTTTTGGACGCCATATTGGATTTTTACGGAATGAGGTAGAGGACAAAAAACCAAAAATAATAATGTGTCACAAACCATATAGACTGGTTCACTTTTCGAAGTTTTTCTGTCCTAGGAGCATTTCAGACAACATTTGGCCAACAAGGCTTTTTTTACTAATTGGTACCTGCTGAACACGAGTATCGATGTTGGCACCTCGAAATCTGAACCGGAAGTGCAGAATTCAAGATGGCGGCCATTTTCCGAAAATGTTTATCTTTTCACTCATGTGACCGATTTTTTCGATCTAAAAACGAATTATAATGTTATTCCTGACGTACGTCACGATAATAATAGTTAACTATTGTTTTAACAATAATGTAATAGTTTTTTTAGCGGCAGGATGCGTAAAATTAAGAATTACGAAATTCCTAGCTCTCTTTGCCAAACGATTGTTTCTAGTACATGCGTTCATATTGCATAATTACCCTTATAAAGTTTAGATAACTACAATCTTTCGAATTTTACGTTAATTTAAAAAAAAAAATGAAGGAGTTAAACTAAACTACGGTGTTTCGGAAGATTCTTATTTTGCTAGGTATTAATTACCGTTACTCAGGATATATTATTATTTTTCAAGTATGAAAGCATATAGAAAAGTGAAGGCAAATTTATCTTATTTTCATGGTGTTACGTCAATCGTCTGCTTGAGAATATAGGGAGTACAAATCAGTTGAGCCTTGCAACATTAACAAAGTTTTGACGAGCAATCCTATTTACAACGACAAAGGACGATATCTAGAGCAGCCTTCGGAATTAATCTAACGTTGTGAGAATGGGAATGTAGCCATTTTAATTCTTTCCCCAGGAAATCAAGGATAGATGTGCTAGTCTGAGCGACATTTTCAGAGTTTAAGGTCAAAGTAGTACCTCTTGCGATGTACACCTGATATGCCGTAATTAGGGAAATGAATGAAAAGCTAGAAAAGATTGGAATCCCTAGAGAATGGAGGTCAGAATTGTTAGATCTAAAGCTTCGCAGCTCCTGGAACCTGGCAATACTTCTCCACTCTGGGAAGTCCTACTTGATTAACCCAGATGGGGCCAGGGACGTGCGCATCCTTCCAAACGGACGTCTGGTAGCGACTTCTCCCTACCAAACTAAGCGGGACGTTTCACGTACCTAGTTATGATACCAACCTTGTATAGTTTTGCCACGAAGATTTTTGCAAAAAATATATCTTCTCGCTGAGGAGTATGGTACCCAGCGTGAACAGTAAAGAAGAGCGCTTTTGAAACACTATATCTGGTTCACATCCGGGTTCGGATATATAGATAGTTGTAAATGTCTAGTGGGTTGGGTTGGTAGACCAGCCTTGCCTTAAACCCCCTCCCCCCTGCTTAAAAATAAAGGTCAAAAATAAATAAATAAATAAAACGTGACATCACTTCCTGTGATGCGTAAAAGGACAGGATATTCGTTACTACTACTTGTGGCCAGTTCCTCTGCACATGGATAGGAACAAATACATATCTTTCTTGAAGTACCGGTCAGCAACCAAACTTAGTTTGCCAGTATTTTCTCGAAGTGATGAAGAAGAAACAGAAATACATCTGTATCTGTAGCGTTATCCTAGTATCCGCTTCCTTGTGAAAAGCTTCTAAGGAGGAAATCTGTGTCCTCTGACGGTTACAGAAAACTTTTCTTTCATCACTGAAGCCTCCAGCAATCACCAGTACGCCGTCAAATGCGCCTTCAAATGCGACAACAGAGCTGGACTGGGTCAACTGGGTCACTAAGGTCACTAAATTAAACTGGGTCACTGGGTCGCTGGGTCACGTCATACTCTTTTCAGTTAGACCCAGTGGCCCAGTTTGACCCAGTGACCCAGTTTGACCCAGTGACCCAACTTGACCCAGTTTGACCCAGTGACTCAGTTTGACCCAGTTTGGCCCAGTCCAGCTCTGTTGTCGCATTTGAAGGCCCCCGGGTTCAATTGGGTCGCTGAGTCAAACTGGGTCAAGCTGGGTCACCGGGTCAAGCTGGGTCACCGGGTCAACTGGGTCACCGAGTCACTGGGTCACCGGGTCACTGGGTCAGTAAACTAACTGGGTCACCGGGTCACTGGGTCACTCTATGCTTGACCCAGTCCAACTCTGTGCGACAATAACTCATTTCTTTTGTTTTCCTCTAATGAAAGGAAATTCTTCCAAATGTGAGGTAATGCAACATCGCGGATATCTATCACACCACGCACAGGAACCAAAATGCTTGCCAAAACAGAAATAATTTAATAATTACACGATGTGAACAAATTTAAACAGTAGGTACTATGAAAAAAAGGTTTCCACTTTTATGCACTTTGACGTTAGAAAAACTATGGAATCATTGTTTAAACATTTGTTCACTATTATTATCGTGCCGTACCTCCGCCAGGAATACATTATAATCCGTTTTTAGCTCGAAAAAATCGGTCGCATGACTTTTTAACAACGTAAACCAAATGTGTATTCAATATTGTTCTATACGTACTCTACAACCACTTCTCTTTTTATATTTTTATTTAGTACAAATAAAATGTATAAGACTACTATATACCTGACACAAGACCGAAAAGGAACCGTCCTGTTGAAATTTTGTTATTGGTCCTGAGATTGTGGACTGTAGAATTGTGCTGTTTGTAAGTCGTTCTGCTATGAGGTGCACCACAAAAACATTTTAAAGTACTCCTTTCTCGAAAATAAATTACCATACAGTTTTTTTTTTAAATTGCAGCTGATAATTAAAAGTAACAAAATATACAATCCACACGAGGTGCGTCGCCTATCATTGTATTTCAGCACTTTCATGCTACGCCAAAAAATGATAAATTCATTGTAAAACACTTCAATTAAAACAGAATTTTTTAACAACCTAACATCAACCCCAATTAGAGAAACGTGTTAATAATTTATTAATAGTGCAAGAAACTAAATACAGCACATACTTATAAATTTCCAACGGGCCATTATGATCTACAGGCCAGGTGGCAATCGCCACCCGCCACTGCCTTTTTTTGAACCTCGAAATAAAAATTGTCTCAGATCGACCCGGAAAAAATATTTTCTTATAGAATGTGGCCTGTAGAATCCATAATTTCAAACAGTTCCAAGATTGGGCTACTAGTTATAAGTTACAGCCCTTTGAATTTTTTTCGAAATTGGTTTCTAGTCTATAACTTTTGATTGAGAAGTCTGATCGAAAAAGTACGAATTGATTTGGATTCTACGCGCCCAAATTAATAAGAAAAAGTGTTTTGCCGAGAAATTTTGGTGCAGTCGATTTTTGGTAAAAAAAGGTTATACACAGGGGCGGACTGGGTACTTACGGGCCATTAAAGTATTAGTGTAGTAATGAAGGTGGCGGGGGGGAGGGGGGGTAGCTCTGAGGTGCACCACAAAAACATTTTAAAGTACACTTTTCTCGAAAATCAATTACCATACAGTTTTTTTTTAAATTGCAGCTGATAATTAAAAGTAACAAAATATACAATACACACGAGGTGCGTCGCTTATCATTGTATTTCAGCACTTTCAAAATACTACGACAAAAAATGATAAATTCATTGTAAAACACTTCAATTAAAACAGAATTTTTTAATTTTTTAACAACCTAACATCAACCTCAATTAGAGAAACGTGTTAATAATTTATTAATAGTGCAAGAAACTAAATACAGCACATACTTATAAATTTCCAACGGGCCATTATGGTATACATTCTACAGGCTAGGTGGTAATCGCCACCCGCCCCCCCGTGCCAGTCCGCCCCTGAATTTTAGCGTGATGACTTTGGAATTTTCGAATTCAAACCGACATTCTTCGCAAAGATATAGACCTGTCATTCTCACGACAAAAGCAAAAGTCATATCAATGCCAATGGTACCGACTAACCCAACACACTCAGAGCGCATTCAGTTAGTTACACCAACTTAAGACCTTCTGCAGAGGCACCTCTAAATAGCATTATGCGGGTCACTCTGTAATTGGGCGCATGCCCGTTGAGGGCCCAGAACAAGAGAGGGATAATAAATAAATAAATAAACAAGAGTACATTCAACGCAACGTTACAAATGTTAACATTTTATTCATCTATGCAATTTATTCTTATAGCTCTTATTATACCTAACTCTTACAATGTTAGAACTTGGATATCTGATACATTGTGTGCGGTAAACGCGAACAAAAACTGCCTCGGTAATTAGCTACAGGAATATTCACCCCGGAAAGAAATTGTTTATAGAAAAATTGTTTCACTTTACACGCGTGTATTCCTGCACAGTGCTTGATTATAGTATTTTACATTATTAGCCAGGTAAGTGAGTTTTTACTGGCGATAGGAGAAGTTGACTAGCGAGCCGTTAGGCGAGCTTGTCATCTCCTAGAGCCAGTAAAAACTATTACCTGGCGTATAATGTACAATATTTTATTTGTCACTCATTTGTAAACGTAAATAATTAGTTCTTAAATTGATCTTGAAGAAATGTCTAAAATATCATGTGATCCATGTAACAGAGACTTCGCATTAATTCTGGCCAATGAAATTACTAGATTACTAACTTGTAAAATTTTTACAGGTCTGCTGTCAGTTTTACAGGTCTGCTGTCAGTTTTACAAGTCAGTAACGTTTAAACATGACGTTTACCCGTTTGCGTTTTGTCTTATTAATCGACATTTACAACTGAGTAACAAATAAAAGCAGTTACTGCATCAGTAAGAAAATATTAGTGCATGCATATACCTATTAATTACACTTTAACTATACGAAGCAGGTTGAAAAAAAATAGGA